TTTATATATTGTTTTATTGTTAACGAATTTGCACGCATTTACGTCTTGGACTTACGGTTAGCACCGAGTCCCTGAGGAGACGACCCTACTTATCGCTATCACAAGTGTGTTTTAGAGCTAATAGGCGTATTTTCATAAATTTTATTATTTGCCGGACCCGACACCCGTCAAATTTAGTCCATCAAAACAACATCGTATAAAATAATTTATCCGGTAAGTGTTTACCGTGGTAAGAGTCGTCGCCCTCATTTACTGGGTAAGACTCTTGGTCATTGTTTCGCTTTTATCGGGTAAGATTCTTGGTCCTTACCATATTTATCCGGTGAGGTAATGTGACTTAATAAACACTTACCCGAATAAACGTTTGGCCTTAACTTTAACAACTTTTTTATTTTTGAGATTACAACATTAATTTTTCTAATATTAATATTACTAAAACATATAATATACTTAATAAAATATCATTTATTTCCCTTAAATATTCAATTTTAAAAAATATTTATGATGGAATAAAAAATCCATTTTGTCTTTTCTAAATAATAAAAGTTAGAGATTTAAAAAAAAAACTTTTGAAAGACTATTGAAGAAAAAATTAGTTCAAAATATTTAGACGGTATTTGGGATTGTTTATAAAAATAACTTATTGACTTATTCCGGTGTAACACTGATAATAAACATTTTTGAGTGTTTGGATAAACAACTTATACCGGTGTCAAACCGGTAATAAGGAGTTTTTCAAGAAGTTAAACCCTTTTGATTTATAATAAGTTGATAAATATTTTTCTAAAAAAACATAAGTTATTTCAAATTAGCAATCGCAAACACCTCCTTGCTTTTTCTCCATTTTAGATCTCTAAATAGAGGACCAAAAACTAAAATTAATTCAACGAATTCTTTATTTAAAATATTAAACATAAAATATTTTATAATATTCCACTTTTAAAGCTTTTTAAGAATTTGATAATATATTTAATTTTGTTTATTTGAAAGAATTAAAAACTCATTTATGTTTATATCTATACTATATTATAAAATATTTGATAAAAACTTTTAAAAATCATTCGTTGTGCATGAAATACTGTTTATTAATGCATATTACTTAAAATTTAAGATTACAAGTAAATTGTGCATAAATACAACTTATTAAAACTCTATTTTTAAATTCGTATAGCTAACTGTAGATTAATATGATCAAATATAAGATAAACATCTCATTTTAAATATAAAAAATCTAAAATATAATTAAGATAATCATTGAGTTCTAACAGAATCATTATCTTTATAAAAATTATATTGTCAAGTTAAAAATAAATTACTTCGATATTAAACCTAAATTAAATTATAATAAAAATTTAAATTAAAGGAATTGTACAAATAATAAGCTTATGAATAGTCAATTTGACATTAATATCCATGTATTTTTTCAGATTTGTAGTCAATTTTATTTTTATTCAAAAGTAAAAACATTGTCTTTCTCAAAACCACATAAATGATATTATATCAATAAAAACAAAAAATAAAACGAAACATTAAAATAAATATGTATCTCGTTACATTATACGAGTACCTTTCTAGTTGCTATTTTAAAGAATCTTCTCATCATTTTGTGTTTTTTTCTTTTATATTTTGAAGAAAATATTAAAAAATTTATTGCTAAATAAAATAAATAAATAAAATATAAAAGGAATAAGCAAGTGATTGTGGAGGTACGGATTTATGCAGGGCTTAAAAGAGGACTATCATTTCTTTCAATACGACTCTCTCCCTAATTCGATACAATTTTCATCCAATTTTTCGTCCTCATAAAATCAAAATAAACCCTAATTCTGCATCAAAGACGAACAATCGCCATCAGCAAGGTTGATTCTTTATCTATTCACTTTGTACGTTTAATTTGTTATTTATTTCAACAAAAAAATTCAATTCGTTTTTTCTGTTTTAATTCAGTTTAGCACTAAAACCCTATATTTGCCTGCCCATTTCTCGATCAAACTTGGTTTTTTTTTTCCATGGTTGTAACCAATTTGGGTAGGAATTGAACTTTTCATTGTGCAGTCTCGATCATATAAAGTTGATTGATGAGAAAATGAGTAATCGGCCGAGTACGCGCAACAAGAACAAGAGGCAAAGGCCGGATAATAATGCTGAAGTTATTTCTGAATTATACAGGTGATTGAAGTTCAGTTGCGTGATTTTTTAACGCCAGTAGTATGCTAATGATCTTGATTCTGTTTTTCTAATCGAATTTGGAAGTACATTTCATGTTTTGCGGATGTAATTGCTGTATACGTTTCCGTGTTCTCCCTGAATTCGAAAATTTGGGGTTTTCTTTGCAAAAAAGTTTGCTCCAAAATAATTCGTATTTAGTGAAAATTGACCCAATGTCCTAGAACATACCGCTAACAGTAACATATGTATAATCTTTTCAAAACACGAGCAATTCCCAATTGTGTGATGGAGGTAGTATTCCTATCCCTATAGGGTTTACGATGGGGTTCATCCTTGGTCTATGCAGATCAGGGCCTAGTTACTGCTTGAAACGAAATCTCTACACTTTGATGTCTGATATATAAATTTGAACTTAGTAGTTTAGAAATTCAAAACTCAGATGCACTTCATTCAAATGACATCAAAATTCGATCACATGTTTTAATTTGTTAGAGAAGTATGATATGAAATGAGACACACTTGACCTAGTTTTTCCTAATGCATAACTAAGTTGTCGCATGCTAAAAATTAACATCAACACTTGCTCTTTAAAGTATTTCCATAAAGTTCGACGTTTATTTCTTGGAAGTTGAAGAATTAATTTTAGTTTTGTACATATGCCCAACAATGAGAAAAAAAAATCCGAAAGTTCTTTGTGTCGATAATACCAAAATATCAAGTTCGCTCATTCGTCTTTTTTTGATCCTTATGGGAAGAATTACAAATGTCTGGAAAAGTTATATAGCTATTTCGCAAGGTAATCCGCATCAATGTGTTATCATATTGAAGTTGAAAAGTAACTTCTTTTATTACAAAAGTCAAATGGGGAGGTGGTATAATGTAATAATGTATCTTTGCATTGCTAATCTTGCGATGGTTGTCTTTGTGAATTTTCTATTGCAAAATCAGCAAGTTCTGTAGTTTTATTTAAGTCTGAGTGAGGGCATTAAATTTGGTGTCTTTTCAAAGGAAACTGTCAGTTTTTATGTGTTTGCAACTGCAATCTTGCTGTCTTTGCAAAAACAAATATAAAGAATTGTCCATGTTCATGGTAGTTTGTATGTTTAAATTGGTACTGATTAGTCAAAACTCAAAACTCAAACTTTCCTTTCCTGGGTAGGAAAATTCACTTGTCTGGTGAAGTGACAAAGGATGATATAAAGCAGCTATATATGTTTGGGAAGCCGGTTTGTAATCAAGGCTGTCGAATAAACACAAAAGATAACCCCAACTGCTTTTGTGGGTTGATTCCACCACCAAATGGCAACCGGAAATCTGGGTTATGGCAAAAGACTTCTGAGATTGTTTCCTCACTGGGTCCTGATCCTTCCAAGGATCTACGTGATTCCTTCGACACGCCTGCTGGTCTAACAAATCTAGGTGCAACATGCTATGCGAACAGCATACTCCAGTTCCTATACATGAACAAGCCATTCAGAGAAGGTGTATTATCTGTTGAACCAGATGTCTTGGCAAAGCAGCCTGTCCTGGGTCAACTTGCTCGACTTTTTGCACAGCTTCATACTAGTAAAATGGCTTTTGTTGATTCAGCTCCTTTTATTGAAGCACTGGCGTTAGATAATGGTATTCAGCAGGATAGTCATGAATTTCTTACATTGCTTTTTTCATTGCTTGAGCAATGTTTGAGCTATTCTAAAGTTTCCAAGGCCAGAACTGTTGTTCAAGATCTCTTCCGTGGAGGCGTCTCACATGTGACCAAGTAAGTTCACCTACGTGATGGTAATATGCAGTAGAAAATGTTTGAACATATAACTATGTTGCAACTTGCAAGTAAAAAACAAGTTCCCTGCTTCTGTCTAAAATGTTTACTCTTAGTTGCAAAAATTGGGCCCCAGTTGACTGATTCTGGTTTAACTGGCTATGGACCTTTCTTATTATTTTGTTGTGATAATATGCTACATTTTAAAAGGATATTTGAAATTGTTAGCTACCTTATTTTCTGAGATCTTTGTGTAGGAATAAAGTTGTTGACATAGATGATCTACATCTTTGAATGACCCAAAGACAAATACATTGGTAGCACCAGTACCAGCATAACCAGAAAAATGTGGATGCACACTTAGAGAGGATTGCCTCCTTTGTTAATATTCAAATCTGTCTTTATCTAACGGACTGGGAACCACACTAATCTTGGAGGGTGGAATGATTTCTTTGCTTCTTTTACCTTTTCCCACTGTATCCAGTTTACTTTGTACCGTGCCAGGGAAAGGATGCTTATGATCTACCAAGGTTGAGGAGCCTTGGGGCACGTAGTTCCCTTTATTAATGTGGTTATGTGTTCTTTTGCCTAGGTATATTTGTCACAGGTTGTGGTCTTGAATTTAGTTTTACTACTGTCGCTGAGGTAGAGGTTTGAATATTCTCATTGCATTTCCCACTTAATTCCAAGGAGTGGGGGTGCCCTGGTTCAATAGTGAGACCATTGAAAGAACTATACGGTTAAGAGGGAGAGTAGTGGCTATAGGTCAAGGAGAATTATAACAACCCCCCTTCCCGACCTAAAAAAAGGATTAAGGAAATAACAAAAGTGATAGATTTGTGATTTTCATGAGACAACATCTTAATTGACCCATCTTTCATGTAGAAGCCAACTGCACTTTGAAAGTATGAGTAGAGTTTGGGTGCTTCTTATTCTGCAGACTGCAGGTACCATATGTCTTTGTCAATGATCATAATGGACTATGCCATTAGTCTACCAAGTCATATTGATAGCTTGGGCTTCAAACGTCATATTCCCACAGAATTTTAACATGACATATATTGAATATATTAAGTTATAAGTACCTCACATTGTTATATAACCACCAATAAGTGTGTGGGAAGGCTTGCAGATTATGATTATCTCTTAATATGAATGATGATGTGTCCCTTTTTATTACTTATTTTGTGACTAGGTGTTCAAAATGTGGTAACCAATCGGAAGCCTCATCAAATGTTGAAGACTTCTACGGGGTGGAGCTGAATGTCAAGGGTTTGAAAAGTTTGGATGAAAGTTTAGATGATTATCTTTCTGTTGAAGAGCTTCAAGGGGATAATCAATATTTTTGCTATTCTTGTGCAACTCGAGTAAATGCTACTCGTAGCATCAGGCTGCAGTCGCTGCCTCCTGTTCTTATCTTCCAGCTGAAGCGTTGTGTTTTTCTCCCAAATGTAAGTGCAGATATGATGTCCATATTACTTGGAGCAAGTACTACTTGCAAATGTATACCATGGTTCTATCTGTTATTCTTGCTGATAAATTGGAATTTGCTCAATGAATCCTTCAAAAATGACGTCAGTGCTATGCTAGCGTTGATATTTGGAACACCAAAAGAGTTCATACTTCATACTGCCGCAGCTAGTGAGGAGAACTAATAATATGCCTTTAGGCCACTGTTATTTGAGCTATTACTTTACCGGGCTCTTGTGGCAGTTTTTCTTGATATATAGGCCACTAAACTGTACCTTTTGATACGACATTATGGCTGTACCACCTTCTGTTAAATTTCTAGAAACCGAGAACATTACAGGCTACCAACCTTTAATTAACTCAAGCAGTAGTAATCATCACACTTATCTTAAAGGTCATTGATGTTATGGGGCAGGAGATGCCTAGATAAGCCCCAATGTGTTCTTACACCATCTTGATGGCCTACTCATTTATATTGATACTTCCCACTTTTCTTCTTCCACCAGGAAAATCATAATAATGGGCTACTCAATCATGGTGGCCTTAAGGTTTATCAAGGCTCTTAGCAAGGTTGTCAAGATTTTGGATTAAATGGTTGCAGTTCAGATGGTTATTAATATCAAGGGTCTACCACCTTTATTTTTTCCTGTTCAACCCCACACTTGTTATAAGAACTTTTGTGTGTGTGGTGGGGGGGGGGGGGGTTGGAAGTTCGAATATAAACTAATACAAGCTGAAAACATTTTTACTCCGCTTTTATATCTTTACACACACTTGGTTGGTCTCGTATCAATCAAAAATCTTTCCCCTGCATGCATGGTAGACTATGATAACCTGCTTGATATGCTAAATTATTTCAGGAAATGGAGGTGTGACGATGTACTATAAAATTGTCATTTTGATCTTAGTTTTGGCTGTTTCTTATAAGAGGTGGTTTTAGTTATAATGTTAATTTCCTTGTTATTTTTTAGTTTATAATTGCTTTTGTAATAAGCTTCTTTTGATGGTTCTTAATTGTATCGACTATCTTTCTGTTAGCAGCTCATACTTCATTCTTTCATTTTTATAAAGAACATTCTTTTTAATTTTCTTGGGTTTGTTTGGTTTACTTTGGTTTGGTTCTTTGTAGTTTTAGTTTCTTACATGGATGTATGGAGTAAAAGATTTTAACGAATCTGAGTGTATAATATTACCTAATGTGAAACTCCAACTAATAACCTTGTAGTTGTGTTAAAAGTCCACTAAGTTTAAAAATTCACATTATAGATCCTGCTGTTTACCTGACCTCTAACCCATAGCTTTTAGTTTGCTTCTCCATTCTTATGCGGTGTGTGTGCATTTTGGGATTCTTTCACATATATCATGAATAATAAGTTTCCTTTTCACTTTCTTGTTGCCGTTGCTGCTGCTTTCCTTTTTTTATTTAAATACGTTTTAGACACTCTTTATTGGCGCCCTCCTATTTGGATAGCTTCAATTACCATATTGACTCACTTATATGCTTTCATAGACTACAACAAAGAAGAAGATAACTTCCGCATTTTGTTTCCCTGGAGAAGTGGATATGGCTCGATGGTTATCCGATCAAAGTAAATCTAAACTGATTTATGATTTATCAGCGGTTTTGATTCACAAGGGTTCTGCTGTTAACAGTGGCCACTATGTAGCCCATATTAAAGATCAGGATACAGGCCTATGGTGGGAGTTTGATGACGAAATTGTCTCAGATATGGGTCAACACCCTTTCGGTGGCAATTCTTCTAATGTTGCTGCTAAATCTCTACAGAATATTCCTGCTGGACAATCTTGTTTCTCTGAACCTGATGGTGTTGTAAATGGAAACCATGTGAATACGTCTGGGTTGCATGCTTCATCCCCTGAAACTACTTCAAATGTACAAACATTCTCTTCAAGTGATGCATATATGCTGATGTATTGTCTTAGGCATCAAACTAATGGTCATAGAAAAGCACAATTGGGATCTGGTGGAGGGATACTGAAGGATGGAAATTCCATTTCTTTGCAAACTGATGCTTATCTTCCATCTCATCTTATGAAGGAAGTCAATGAGTTGAACAAGTCATATCTTGAATCTTGTCAGCAATATAAAACAAAGAAAGAGGCCAAATTGGCTCTCATTGCAGAGCGGCGACAGGAGGTTCGATCAGTTATTTCTGAAGCCTCTGTTCAATCATCTGTGGAGTCATTTTGGTGGATATCAGTAGACTGGCTACGCCAATGGGCAGACACCATAACTCCTACGTAAGTGAATTCTTGTTACCACTTCTCTTCCCATTTATCTTGTGTTAGAATACCTTATAACCAATTCATATCTGCAGAAGTATATCTTGTTCTGCTAGTCTGCAGTGTGTGTTTACTTATTTGTTTCTTCCATCACTCTCTCCCTCCTCCCCTGTCTCATCCTCAGTAAAATAATAACAAAATAAACAATACATGATGGTGCTACTGCTTTCTCTTTCTTTGTTTACTTAAAGGGTAGGATTTCTTATATAAACCCATGAACTCTTAAGCAGTTCCATTTAACCATGTAATAATTCTCCCTCCACCCCAAACCCTGTTTAAGGAATAATTTGGCTCAGTAGAACTTTGTTTGAGGGTTAAACCAAATAAGTAGATTGCTTAGCAACCTCACTCTCTAGTTGTTGCTGTTTTAGTTAATTACATAGTCCTACCATTCTTCTTTCCTATTCATCCTATGTTATCTTTCTAGAGTAGTTTCATTGTTTGTCTAATTTGCTGATTGTACTTGAGTTTTACTGCTTCCTCAGATATATCTTTGAAGGTTGTGTTTTCCTTTTAATGTTCTTCATTGTGGATTGTCTTTCTGCTTTTTTTTTTTTTTTTTTACTCTACTTCTCATTCGTTTCTCTTTTCTTCCTTGAAAAATGTAACTATTAATTGGATATATGTCACACATAAAATGGTTGGACAAAACTGTCTCTCAAGAATTGGCTTTCTGGAGACAACTATTAGGAGATGCCCAACAAGAAAACCCTAATGGATATTGGAAAGAAATTCCCTGACATGATCTATAACGTTTAATGGGCCGTGATCGATTTGAATGTTCAACTGTAAATCCAAATGACTTTTTCGGAAACATATTTTGCATGTTAACAGTTTAAAACACCTCCGGCATAACAAAGTTACATATCTACAAGTACTATGCTAGTCCCCTGAACGTGAGCAGGGATTAAGTAACGCGTGCTGCTTAGTCTAGGAACGTGTATGGTCAACAGCAGGGGCATATTGGTTATGCAGGGTTTGTTTTAAATATTAATTTAAAAACTGTATATATATATATATATATATATATATATAGTGGAATATGGAAACAGCGCAAGTGTTTTGAAGCTTTTTGGGAAATTTCAGTTAACTTAAATGATGAATAGTTGGAGGTTGAAAACATTCTTTTAATGCATTCAAATGTTGCTATACTACAGTTACCATTGTGACATAAAGTAAGGGAACCAAAAAGGTGTTAAACAGTCTGAGGTGTCAGTTTCTTATGGTCTTATTTCTTTGCAGCATAATCGACAACACTCCAATTCAATGTTTGCATGGGAAAGTACCAGTTTCAAAGATCAGCTCCATGAAGCGATTATCAGCCAAGGCTTGGAATACAATATCATCCAAGGTACCTTCCTGTGGATATTATTCGTGTTTATTTCATTGGCTACTGGCCTAGGCAGATTGCACACTGAATGCAGAAGTGTATGTTTACGTTTCACGGCTGTTGATGCATTTTCCGTATTTGACCCTGACAAAGTGATTATTTCCTGTTAGAATTGAGATGCATACATTGCTTTGCAGTTTCCATATGCATGTAAGTATAGTGATTTCGTTCTGCATTGTCTTTCCCTTATCATATAAGTTCAATTCCTCATACAGTCTGCAAATTGATGAGCACCATATATCTACAGCCTGTTATGAGCATCATTGTTCTATGCATTGTCTGATGTCCTATTTGACATAGTTATACTTGAAGAGGGGTCTTAATCTCAGGCATCTTTGTTTCCCATGTATTCTGCTAAATGGATCCTGCTTTGCTTTTCCTCCTCCAACATTGGCACTTAATGGTTTAGTTGGATGTTGTCACAAAGTGGATGTGAATCTATTCAAAACAATGGATTCGGTTCTCCATATAGATTTTTGAATGGTACTATTCATTGTAGGTGATGAATCTTGTTGAAACTTTTCATGCTATTGCTGAATGCTTGTGGGAGAGTATTGCATTGGATGGTTGGTACTTGGTAGGTTGAATCGATTTGCTAGGTAAATAGATCACTTTGAGTCATGCTTCTCAATGAGGTAGCCTTCGCCAAAATATCTGTCTTACAGAATAGCCATGTATTGAGAACATCAGAAGAACATGAAAAGTCTCAAGGTTGTACCCTTGTTTGATTTCTATGAAGAGTTGAAGACAGGTATATTGTACTTTTCTAAGTCACAAGGTGCACAGTTTGACATTTAATTTTTCTTCCCAAGGAGGTTCTGGTTGTGGTATATAAGCATAAATTAATAACTATGCTGGGAAGAAAGTGGTTGCGCTTTTCACAGGCGATGTTGTAGTTTAACTGAATATACCGGATGCTGCCCTTTGCATTTCTTTGTGTCAGTGTGCATGGTTTGAGTGAGGCATTGCAGACCTGCAGCTGCGATTTGGGGATATTGGTTTGTGAAATTCTATTAAATGTGGGCATGGCCCCATGGGTGCAAGTGTTTGACTTTCAAGCATATCTACAAATATTTATATATAGTAATTGAAATATACAATAACTATGCTAGTGATGTTGTAATTTGCAAAAATATAGGAGTCATTTTGTCCATTTTTTACCATAAGTAAGCTTCTTTGTGTATAAATAAGGTTATTTAGGGGCTGGTTGAGACTTGTATTAGCTACAAGGATTAGTTTGTAGTATTAGTTAATTCTTCAGTGAGGGAAATATTTACATTATTAGGATGATTCCACACCCCCATGATGATACAAAGAAGACAGATGAATGCAGATGACAAACATCGGAGCAAATGCAGCAACAAAAGATGTTTGGTTGGCTCTTTTTTTCTCGTACTCACTTTTCTCTTTCTTCTGTTCCATGAGTCTCATGCATCAGTTTAAGAGCTACTTAGGGCAGATTAAAAGCTTAGGTGAAACATAAAATTGAATGAATTATTGAATGGCTGAATATAAAATAAAATATTCAATTTAAATGCAATTAAAGGAAATGTAAGTTTTTCAATCCATAAAAAAATATAGCCAAACCACAAGGAAATGATTGTCATAAAATAAAACATTCAATTTAAAATTGGATTAGACTTTGCTAGAAAAAAATGTTTCTTTGGTGAAAAGACGACCTAGCATTATAAGTAGAACAATATTTATGTTGGAAATAAGCAAAACCTAAATCAATACTTATGGTGGAATATGGTAGATGTGATAAGCCATGCAAGAAGCAAAGTGTAGGTAATCCCATGTGCTAGTCAGAGTTTGCAAAGCCCAGTAAGAGGTTTTTTTCAGTGTCTAAACTCGTAAATGGCTTTTAAGACAACTAAATATGAATGAAAGCGGACATAATCCTCAACCTTTGTTATAGGTTCAAATCCTATTGGACACGATTTTTTTCCATATATTTTTTTTATGTCCGGACGAATCGACATTAGACCGCCATTAAGAACTTGTTGCAAAAAACTAACCCACCCTAAATGTATGTACCTATGGTGGATTTCACTCTATTGGATGGATGATCCTTCATAAGCATTCGTTTTTATGGCAAAGATGATTATCTTCCCACACAAAATTCCATTGTTTCAATGGGATTCAGTTTCTAAGACATTGGTTCATCACCAGAATAGGAAATGTTCATGGGTCCCAAAGGTTCACCTCTTATGAGCATTGTGAAATACATTCTATTTGGAAACCTGAGGGGGTTGTCTCTTTGTAGTATTTGTTGGTTTTATTTCATTTTACTTCAACTAATTTTAGAGAAAAGGCTTGTAGTAAAGGTGCTTGATTGGTGGCATAAACCATCAACCGATTAAAACATTCAGTCATAAGGAAAATACATGGATTTTATATATGTGTCAAGTTACTAGTTACTTTGGATGCTGCAAAGTAACCACTGGATGTGGGTGTCACATAAGAGGTGTCTATTAACTTTATAACCACACTCTGTGGACCTTTGGGCTTGGTAACTGGATTTGAGTAGCTTGGGGAAGATGTGGTAAGAGACTCTGTGATGGAGAGAGGAGAATGTGTATATAGTTGTTTTCTTCAGTTTTCTTTAGATAACTGTAAACATAGTTGTCAAAAGGCGCGCCTAGGCTTTGTGGCTCATAAGGTTCGAGGTCTTGGGCTTTTTTCAAGTCGAGGCTCAGCGTATTCACGAGGCTCACTAAGGCACTGCGCCTGGGCTGAGGCGCCTTGTGGGCCTAGGTGCGCCTCATAAAGAGTTACTAAATACCTAGTTAAACCCTAAGATTAAATAAGTTTTCTCATCTTCCGATCTCCTAGATTTCTTAAAAGAAGTGTTACTAAATAGATGACATAAGTCAAACCCTAATATTAAATACTAAGTCCTTAGAACTTGAAGCCTCCTTCTCTATAAATCTCTATAAATACCTAGACCTTAAAACTTCTCCTTCACGGCTCATGCTTTAAACCCTTCTGCCTCTATCGAAGTACTGTTGGTTGCTGCATTGGAGACTTGTTGTGTGTAACTATGTGTGTGTATATATATATATATATTGATAAGATGCGCCTCGCATTCCTGAGGCCCGCGCCTCACGCGTAGGCTCCGGGACCCCGTTGCGCCTAAGTGCACCTTGAGCCTTTAACAACTTTGACTGTAAATAAATGAGTGCAGACAGCCTTGTAGAACTAATTACTAGAATCCACCTAAGACTGCATCTATTAGTTCACACTAGCTTATAAATCCGATAGGCTTTTAACCCTCAATTAACATGTTTTATTTATAAGAGGTGGTTACCTCATAATATTACTATTCCGTTGTTTTGCTACTAAATTAATGTGTTCTCATCTGTGACTTTAATTTTATGATGCTTGTAAATAAAGTATAAAGGTGGGCCAGAATTGGGTGAGGATGATTGCTGCATCGTGTGCCTGAAGGAAACAGCCTGTGCTGCAGTAAGTGCTGATAGCTATAGAGATGGACGAACATCAATGAGAGAACTTGCAGAGGCAGCACTTGCTGGGAAGTGTCCTGATGGACCATTGTACTACGTTTCCAAGGCATGGTATGTTTTTAGTTACATGGGTTGCAACCATTCGAATTTATTGGTATATACATCAGCTTTGTGTTAACTCCACAATATAACTTATCTTTTTATCACAATACTTGTATGTTGTATAATGTGCATCCTATTATTGTCTTCCTCACTTTAGGAGAAAAAATTCTACTCGTGAAATATCTCCTAGCCCTGGATGATATGTGTACAGTGTATTCCGAGGCCCATCTATGCCTTTACTACCGACTTTTGCAAATCTGCGTTTCACTTGAGAGGCTGCATAGAGAAATGTTCATATATATGTAATTTGTTTGATCTTATTGTAAATAGTCTTGATTAGTCTTTGAATCGTAGGTTGAGTCAATGGGTACGCAGACGAAACATTGACTCCCCATGTGAGGCTGATACTGGACCAACAGCCTCAATCAGGTGCCCACATGGAGCTCTTATGCCTGAGCAAGCTGCTGGCGCCAGGCGTGCCCTAATACCAGAGATTTTGTGGGTTTTCATTTTCAATTCTGCCAATGAAGTAAAGCCTGATGATACGGTCGGCTGTTCAGTTTTTGCTTCGGACTCTGAAACATGCTCTCAGTGCTGTATTGATCTCTCAGAAGTGACATGCATGGAAGATAACTTGAGGTTGTCCAAATATCTTTTCAGAGAAAGAGTAATAATGTTTTGCTTCATATGGTTTTTATTGACTCAGCCTTCAACGTGTAGGGATTTCAAGCTTAAACAACGTCAATCTCATGAGAAGCTAGCTATTGGAAAAAGCATACCACTTTTTCCTCGAAACAAGTACTACTTGTTGCCTACTTCTTGGCTTTCAAAATGGCGATGCTACATCATGGCAGGTGGCAAGAATGCATCTTCTACTGCAGAACCAGACAATCTGAATAGTGCCATTGAATCACTTAAATGTGAACAGGTGTTTGATGTTTCCTGTTCTTTGAATTATTTGCACTAGCTTCAAGTCACATTGACACTCTGCTCATGGTGAAGGTTTATTTTCCATACTGTAAACTATTAGAGCATCTCCATAGATTCTCCAAAAAAGTTCCAAAATGGAAAATCAAAATTCAAAATCTCTAAAAAAGAATTACATTCAACTCCAACAGCTTCTCCACTTTGGAGATTACAACATTAATTATATTACTAAAATATTCCATATGTCTAATGAAATATTATTTCTTTCTCTTAAACATTTAATTTCAAGGTTCCTTATTGGTGGGAATAGAATAAAAAATTCTCTCTCATGGTAATCATTTTTGGGGAGCTCTTCAAATTTGGAGAATTTCACACTCTCCTACTTTCTCAATTTTGGAGAACCTGTTGGAGCAAAAAATTTGCTGAAGATCTCCATTTTAGAGAATCTGTTGGAGATGCTCTAAGGTGTTTGGATTGTCTGTGATTCTATAATTCATGTTTCAGCTTTACCTAAGCTTGTGTTTTCCTATAAATTTATCCGTTGACCATGAATTGGTTTTCTTTTTTAGTTTGTTGTAACACTGACTGTTCATAGATATGGGTGTTCAGTTGTGGTATTAAGATGAATGCATTTTTCTTGCTGACTACAATTGCATTTGTTTTTTCTTATATAAAACAGCACTCAAGGCTTCTTCGAAGACCTCCAGACCTTATGCGCAAGCGTGGTGCAATTCTTCAAAAGGCTCCCAGTGTAGGAACATAATTCCTTCTCTTATTTTATTTTCAGTGTGAAAAGTTCCTGTTATCATGCTTTAGAAGAAATAGATATTGTTTCTAACTTTATAGCAGCTAAGTTATGTCACAGTTGTAAACTATGAGGGAAGCATTTTTTGCATTCAATAAGTCAAGTTTGTACTAATGTGCTGCCAAAGTTGCTGATTTTCTATGATGATGTTGCAGGTAGATGAACTGACAATTATTACTGAAAATGACTGGACCTCATTCTGTAAAGACTGGAATGGTATCGAGGAAAAAGGCATATCTGCTGAAATTGATTCAACTAATTCTGCTGAAGATTGTTTACTGGGGACATTGGAAGAGATGCCAATTACAGAGGAGAATGTAAATTCTCTGGATGATGCAAATGGTGAGACTGAGTCTCAAGGGCCAATAATTAAAACTTATCCCGAGGTATGTTTTAGGCCTTCTTAGCCAGTGGCAGCAATTTCTTGAGACAAATAAACAGAGCACAGTTCCTTCAAATTTTTTATGTAATTGAATCTAATGCAATTTGGTTTTGTAATTACTCCTTGAAATCCTGACTGTACATGTTCTATCCCATGGGTCACACTGCACTGTACTTGTTCCATCCATTAAATAGTTGGTTCGTTTTTAATAGAATGTGTCCATATACCATAGTTTGATTTTGTTCCAATCCAGTGTCGTCTTCTGTGTTGGTAACATTCACACCATGAGAGGGATGGAGAGTTGGAACATTCGCAACATGAAGCTTATAGAATAGCTTAATTGTTAAATCAAAAAATGCAACAGGAACTTTTCTATGCAACTCACTAAGGAAATAATTCTTAACAACAATATCTTATGATAATGCTTTGCTGAAGGAAGTTCCCTCTAGTCAGGATGTGTTACAGTTGTGATTATATGCTTAGGGGCTGTTTGGTTGGTTTTCCATCAAGTCCTGTATGGATTAATCTGTCTGTGTTGATTAGGAAGATTTTTGTTTGGGAGGGTTTTTTCATAGATGGATGGAATGTGTTTTTTAATTGAGAAGGCAGTTTGGATTTTTTTTGGCTTTCTGCATAAAGCTCCCCCAAGAAGCTTACTGACTAAGCCACTTTCTATACCTTAAACCATTGCAAAACAGTCATCTATAGCTGAACGAATAAGCTATCACTATCAGTCCCATTAAACTCGTTAAGCTGCTAACAAACTGCCCCTTAGTCTTGACCATTGTCTCATGGTATTTGTACATATACCACTCTGACTTCTTTCTCTTGCCTAGCCAGTAACCGCGGTTATTTTACTCATGGGAAGTATTTATTATGGAGAGACACCAATCATTCATTTATGAATGCTGCACTACATATGATGATTTTTTCATTACTCTTTCCAACTTCCTGTAGGTTTGTGAAGATTGTATTGGTGAACGAGAAAGCTTTGAACTAGTGAGGAAACTGAACTACTGTAATGAGGATATATGCATTTGTTTTGTTCGTGGGAAAGAACCACCAAAATATATTCTAGAAGGATCTGCGAACATCTTAGAGCCAAATCGTCGAATCTCTAAACGCTCTAGAAGGACATCTTATGGGAACTCAGTGAATTTAAATGTTTCTGGGTCCACAACTCTCTATGAACTAAAGATGATGATTTGGCAATCGTTTGGGGTATGTATCTTCAAATTTATTACCAAATGCATGCTCTTTCATTGTGAATGCATTACATGTTTATTGACTACTGATTTGAGTTTCTTGTGTTGGTTTTTTGAGGGAACTTGAACAATGGAATAGTTTGATAGAACTTGCAACTTGAGAAGCATACAATGCATCTTGATGTGAAATTTTTTATACGAGTTCGGTAAACTTAAATATTATTAATTATTTCTCCCTCTGCCCCCAAAAAGTGTACTTAGAATCTAGGAGGAACTTCTTTTAGACGATTGTACACATAAATGTAATTAACAAAGTGCCTCGTGGTCCAGTCCTCAAGAAAGGGGCTGTTCGATTTTTTATCTATTAAGTTCTGAATCTATTGAATTGTCTCTAAGCATTAATCTGTCTGGATAAATTAAGATAAATTGGTGTTTGATTTTTAACCTGAATAAATATTCTGAACAACAAAATTTACCATTTTAACCTTATGTCTACATAAGTGTTGAATGAAAATAAACGGTATGATAAATGTTTAAAATGACAAAAAGATTAAAATAATATGAATACCATGAATTCAACAAGTTCATAACACAATACTTAATAACTAAATATATTTAAAAACAATAAAGTATTATTGTTCCATTACAATTTTTAATTTATGCATGTTGGTAAACTATTTACTTTTTAATGAAACTTGTGGTCTTAAATTGTAGGACAAGGGTAATTTTGGAAAAAATTATAACTTGATGCATTAAGATAGGATGGGCTAACTTAACGTATTAAGTCAATCTCTTAGTATAAAGTTAAAATCAAACACGCTAATATAACTTAACCAATTAAGCTAACCACCCATTAAGCTCGTTAAGTAGAAAACAAACACCCCCCCCCCCCAAAGTGTGATTTAAGAACATTTTTTATCATTATGTTAAATCTTGAAATAGGATCACTTTGTGGAGCAAAAAACAAAATTACAAAATGGGATTCTTTTTTCTGTGTTGGAGGATCTTAATTAGTGTGGATATAGAAGTATAGATACAGTCTAGTTTTGTATGCTTGTGATGTTATTTTCTTGACTCATGTATCAGTTGTAACATTCCAATTCTTGAGGTGGAAGCATGTGTTTAATATTCTGAATGTCCATTACAAGTTAGACAACTACAATCCTATCAATTTCTTGTCAGAAGAGGAATTATTTTATCGTCTACTGTTCTGTTTCCCTTGTTAAACTATCCTGGGCCTCTTCCTTTAACTTTCAGTGACCTGAACCGTGTTATGTTTTTGCAGATTGTCAAGGAAAACCAGATACTTCACAAAGGTTCCAAGATAGTTGATGGGGAAACTGCTACTCTTGCTGATATGTGTATATTCCCAGGAGATGTTCTATGGGTGACGGATTCGGAGATCCATGAGAATCGTGACATTGCAGGTGATTGATCCAGCATATTTACTAAATGGCTTTTTGGTCCAATCCTGTATTAGGTATAGTCCAAGAGAAGCATGATATTGCAAGTGACTAGACCCCCTTCGTATTAACCAACTATTTCAGACTGACTGTTGTTCATAATTTGTCAGTCATCTAGAGATCCAAGGGTAATAAGGTCTAGAGGTTGTTTTAGCATGTTATTTGGATTTAGGCCTTTTTTTAATAGTTGAAAGTCAACTATGTGTGCTTCTAGGGATATATCAAGTTGTGCTCTATGATGGTAAAACATGTTTCTGTAACTTGACCAGTTAAGTTGGATTGTTGATAGCAGTTTTTTAGGTCAACTTTTTTGTTCTCAAACAAAGATTCTTACCACAATCTTCTGGGTATTCTCGAATAGTTATCAGTAATCTCCTCGAGCACCAACATCAGTAATTACTTATTCTTCTTTAGGTGAAGTATCAGATGATCGATGCTTGTAGTTTTCAGGCTGTGAGCAATTGGAGTTGGTTTTTGTTGCTGAACATATTTATCATTTCCTATGGGTCTTCTATTGTTAAAAAACAGGTTTTCACATTGGTATTTTAAACTGGTTACAGCGACAATAGATTTGTTACAGCAAAATTTTGACCAAAAGGTCCTACACACTTTTTGTTTTGGGCCTTGTTCGCATTATGTCATAGTTGATTTCATCATGGACCATCAATTTGTTTTTTCTTCGAGCCATATTTTCCTCTCGTGCATGATCAAATAATAAGCTCATGCTTAGTTTTTATACTTTTTTCAGAAGAGCTTTCTGATACAAAGATGGAGGTACAGCAATCAGAGGGAGGTTTTCGAGGAACACTTTTGACATCAAATATCCCTCCTACCCAGGTCATGTCTCAAGGGTGCTTCAACTAAGCAAGATCTCTTGTAATGTTTTGTGCCTTTTGGTATATTGTATATCGGAAGAGAAACCAACGAATTTTGGTAAATAGTGTGAGGTAAGATCTCATCTTTTTCTATTTCCTTTTTGGCCCTCCTGTCTGCACATCATCTTAAGCATATGCTTCATTCGTTTGTTCCTTGTTTAGAAGATTCATCTAGAGATGCACAAAAAACACGGACCAAGTCTGAACTGGTTTGGTTGGCAAATGAGTAGGTCTGGTAACGAGTTCTGGTCCGTGAAACCTATAGAAACTAAAAAGATTCTCGTTAGAAAGTTCAGGTTAGAAACTTCAAAAATACATTTTCTTGGAAAATTCTAAGTCCCTTTGGTATGCGGGACATGATGGAACAAAAACTTGTTGTCCCATGTTTGGTGCGACATTAGAAGGGGACAAGATAGATTCGAGTGGGACTAAAATGCATACCAAAATAGGTTGAACAAAAGTAGGAAGATGAAACAGGATCGATAATTACTAAACTTCCCATGTTTGAAACCTTGCACGACTCTTTCACCAGTCTACCTCACCCAGCCTGATCGGTCCCCATTGTATCTGGTAGCTTCTGAAATGGGGGTTAGTAGGATCTAGACGTGCTAGCGACCTCACTCTCAAGGTCCAAACAACCACTGACCATAGATGGTCTATGTTAACGCCCCCATCATCGGCTCCTGAAATTTGTGAAACTTGTGGTTGGAGGTCTAACGTAAAGCTTTTTATCTGTTTCAGAAGGCTCGCAAGTTATGTGAATCTTGAGACACTTGTGGAAGATCTTCGCCATGCCCGTTGCCACTTATGGGCTCGTTTGCTAAAAGTGTGTAAAGTTGTTTCGTTCTTTTGACTTATGGTTTTTTGGTACCTTAAGAGAGGGAGAGATGAGTCTCTTATTTTGTTACAGAAAGAGCTATATATATAAAAAATACCTAATTAGTGGCAATGGCATTGGTCGGTTTTTTCATGATTATATTTTGAGTTTTTTTTAGAGGTGAAAATAATTAACAAATTGGTACTTTTTTTTTTATTAACCTGGATATACAACCCGTTATGCTAGCCGATTAATCCTAGGGCGACCACCTGCTTTGTAGATGGTCCGGAGTTACTGCATTTGAACCTCTATGGCTACAAGGGGATTTTTATTTCTCTTTGGATTTGAACCTGAAACCTCCTGGTACTTTTGACCTTAGAGCCAAGTTCAAACCAACCAGACATCACCCTTGTGGTTCAAATTGGTACTTTTTTTAAAAAGGATGATAGATCAAAATGTAGGTTATTGTTTATTGCATAAAACTTGGTGAATTTTCATTTTCTATTTAGATTGCAGTCGAATCTATTCACATAATCTGATCAACATTTAACATGGATTATAAAAAATTAAAAAGACGTTGAATAGAGTATTAATTTTTGAATTACTAACAAGTCTTATAATCCTTTTTCTTTATATGATTGTGAACATAAAAAGAAACAGTAGAACTCTCTCGATAATTACAAACCATGTAGCATTAAAAGGGACATTCGATAGAAAAGATAACGTGTTATTTATGTTTGTAAACTGTTGTTTAAATTCACGTCATCTAAAACAAAAACGATCGATCGCTACCAAAACTCTTTACGACACTGAATGAATGATTAATGATGAGTTACGTTTCGAGCACAGGATCAACAAATTTACGAAGAACGACGCCATGCCCATGTAAACTTAAATCTTCCAAATATTCGAATATTCAAAGCTTCGAAGTATATAATAGTGGTTCGCCAAAAATAATAGTTTTGAAAATACAAAATAGCCATCAAGGTTTGCATAAACATCTGGATTTAGTCCCTTTCCTGTAACAACCATTAAAAGATCCCATTAAATAAGGGGCAAATTTGTCCTTTTATTGAGTTGTTTGCCGTTCATCTATCAAAATCGATTTTATGATATTGGTCCCTGTGGTTTTTGATTAAGAAACGAGAAAAAACGATAAGGGACAATAATGCCCTAATTTACCGGAATTTTTGAACAGCTGTTAAAAGGTAGAAACCAAATCCAGACGTTTCTGCAAACCACGATGACCATCTTGTATTTTTTGAACTATAAGAACAAAAAGTGTTATTATTAACAAACATGGACCAAATTTGTAGTTTACTCTAATATTTATATACGACGAATACCCACGCATATTCCCACCTTCTATTGCCAACTCGGGTACCGTTGAGCCAATAACACTTCGCTAAATCTTGCTTTTACCAAGAAAATACTCAAACGCGTAAAAGTAAACGGAACCAAACCAAACCAGACCGAGTATATCTCACCTTGAGGTAGGGTCTAATGGGTTAAAGCTTTCATGGTCTTTTTAGTTTCAAAATCAAAAACTGTAAGAACCCATCAACTTGTTGATTCATAACAAAAGTTCCTACACTAGAAAATATTTGAGCTAAAAATACAAAAAACAACCGAGTTGACTCTAAAAACTCGAGAAATATTAAGTCCGGCTTTCTCTGAACAAAGTGATATAAATACAGATCACAGTTCGATAACATCTCCGCCTTCATAAGATGAGTTTGGCATGTTTTAAATTTAACAAAAATTCTCCATTAAACCATACCTTATGGTGATCTTCGATTTCTTGACGAGCAAAACTGAGTCGGCATTCAAGCAATGCTGAAAACGACTACATATAAAACATGAGGACCCAGATGGAAAAAGTTCACCATACCGAAAAACGGCTACATATAAGACATTGTTGGAGTCTGCTCGGGAACGTTTTACAAACATGGGATCCAGATCTTATCCCCAGTTTGGGTTATAAACCAACCCAATATGAACGCCCATTTGAGTTGTGAATAGGAGATGATGTCGGAGAGGTCACACACCATTCGTACCAAACCTACATCACAATGCAAAGAAATTAATGAGTGAAGTTTATAGTGTTCACAACCGGTCTTCAAGGAAACAGTGTCTACTCTTTTCCCAACTACAGGTGGTATATACTCGGTTCGTTTCTTTTGGTTTAATGATTTGAGCATCATGGATAAACCAATGCTACCAATTTTGGTCTACAATTTACGAGTATTTTTTATATTTGACGAGTAATCAGACATTTTCCTTCTACCACAAATGTATCAAGTCAAACGCTGCAACTTTCATGGGTTCAAATGCATTAAACAAAAGTAGGATGACTAATATGCGCACACATTGCGACCCAATCACTGCTCTAGAGAGGCAATAACTCTTATCTCAAGTAGCTTGCTACAACAAGGAAAAAAGCCACTTGGTTCTGAACTTATCTCTCTGAACATAACAAATAGATTTATCCTTTTTCGGGTATCCCTGGGTATCCGTGCCAGCTTGTGCATACCTCGACTAATCCCAAGGGAGCCTAGAAAATCACCGGTGTAACCGGTGACCAATGGGGAGGAGGCCCCTAGCCTTTATTTGCCCATTGAGCTGACCCTCAGGTCCCGTTTAGTTTGCAGGATGAGATTTGAAGAGATTTGGAATTAAATTCCATTCCAATCCTATGTTTGCTTTGAAGGAATGCTTGGATTTCCAGGATTTCATTGAAATCCTACAAACATGGGAGAAATCCCATGATGGGAGTTGGTCTTTCGCTAGATTTCGTAGAATTTATTTGTAATGTCTTAAAATATATTAAAAGCACTTGTTTTATAACAATCAATTGTGAAGGTAATTTGATTATTTTTGTAACTTCTTATAATTTGTTTTTATAAAAAGTGGAATTCAATTCCATTCCAAATCCTACGAACAAAACACACCAAATATTTCGAACCCTTCCATAAAAGACAAATCCCTCAAAAACATTCCATCCAACGGGGCCTTAACATTTTAGAACAAATAGATTTGCACACAACTTAGTGATATAATTTACCTTGGTATTGCCACAACACCGCCAAATGTGAAATTCCAAGGGAGATCCCGCTTTCACATATACGGGTGACCTTAGCGGGAAGAATATTGGAAACCTGCAGCATTTGCACATGCAATGCAAGTATGAGATCATATGTACATTAATCTTGATAACAAATTAACAACAACAAAGGAAATGCATAAACTGGAACCGGATGCCAGAAAGAGTTAAAAGTTAAGGTGGCATACCAGCTGAACATATTTGGGGTTGCAGTCGATGGTTCAATGCCCAAATGTACATCTTTGTAAAGTATTGCATCAAAATAACCAGCAAATCCTATATATCAATGATATTATGGATTTTACATTGGATAATTCACAATATACAAAAAAATAAGGTTTGTCAAAACAGTGACAACGTCTATTTCCTGTATAAGCCTTGACATTATACTTCCATTATTTGTTTTTAGTTGCAGAACAATAGAGGGAATAGTCAGTTACTACAAATGAATAATGGCCATTACCAGACTAAATTTGTCATTTAAAAACTCATTTATTTGGTTTACAATAATACTAAACTTCGTTTTCCTTTTTTAGGTTTTCATCCAAGATCACAAAAATGTAAGCAACTTCCATGGTCATGTAAGTTATTTCGATCATGGAAACTTAATTCACCTAGTTTTTAATTTGGTATAGGTAGTAACATATCATACCATGAACAATAGTAGATCCTGTATCATTGGGCATCTCGAATCGAAGCTTCTTGTACCGCTGATTACTTCTATTGGGTGAATAGTTTGGATGTGTAAAGGTAAAAACCTAAACAGCACAAATGAAAGATGTTATAGTTCACTGAAAACAATATGCACTTTTCAGTTTGGTAAAATAGCTACACCTACTCAGGGAATCCAATGCTACTGTAAAACGTGAAAAATGGAGGAAACTCACAGATTGAGATGGTGAAAGTCTGGCCAAGCGGTGCAGCTTTACGACGTATGCAGTTTCGAAGTGTAAAAGATCTTTGTGCAATTTGACCTGAAATTAAACCATTTGGTAAATGATATATGGTCTCAAAGTGAACACGAAAAAGTAAAATCAAAATGAAAAGCAACTCACATCATTATACAACTTTGATGTAGTCACAGGCTGTATAAAACTTGTATACCTGACACAGAACAAGCAAAAGAAGTAGTCTTTGGTTCAATAAACATCCAAAATTTTAAAAACAAGATTCAGCAGTAGAATCAAGAAAATTGAACTCAACAAGACAAGAAAAATCGACAATATTCATCATCACTCTCTTCTTATATTTCCTTCTAATTTATAGCGTATAGATATTTCCTACAGTTTAGCCAAGTTAAAGATGATCTCATCCTGTACTGTCTACTCTGTTTAGAAAAAAAATGATGGAATTTATCACATAATTGATCAAGTTCCTAGAATACCATTTAGAAATGCAGTGGACAACTACAAATGAAACCGGCTCTATTTCAGAATATCATACAAACTAATCTGTACTTGATTATGTATTTGCATCCGGAAACAGAACCTCCACAAAACAATTCAAGATAATTAATAACATAGTCCATTTAAATGAAATATGGTTATTACTGGTACAAATAATTGATATACTTCATTAAGATTTCCCATCTCAATGATCAATAGTAATCCTATTACATGCATATGACATTTTATTTATCAAGCGTATAGGTTCAGCACATCATGGAGAAGCCATAATATCCACCCATAATTAATCATCATTGAACATTTGTAATAGGCAGAGCTCAACCAGCAATGCAGCATTCAAGTTGGACAAATTAAAATTTTAAAACCAAATCAATCGATAAAATTGACCAAAACACAAGTATAGTATACATACGATGATGGAATTGAGATTCCATCTGGCTTTAAAAACCGTTCAGCTCCATCAAGACACTCAGGTGAGAGCTCATTGTCACCAAAAGAACCAAGTAATTCACTGACCTACATTGAAATACACCAACAACGTAACTTTCATAATCAAATGGTTGATAAAAGTATAAAACGGGTTTACTGGCAAATGTGCATACCAAAATGTCAGCTTTCTCTGGAGCGTCCCAGCAACGCATGTCACTGGAAATTATGGTCACAACATTTTCCCAACCTTCTAATTTAACCAAGCTCTGTGACAAAACAGAATGACATGCGTTAAGAGGTAAACTCAAACAAAAAAGCAAAACATGGATTTAGTAATATGAGCACTTCACAAAGCATAAAGATCATCAAGGGACAAGACCCAGTTAAGATGTGATGCAGCTCTTGGTAAGCAACCGCCATGTCAAAGATGTATGAGAATATAAAGGTAGTGTGAATACAAATTTTTTTTATTTATGGTATAATGCATGAAGATAATTTATTTTCCATGGCACCTGACAAGATCATTGACAGAATTCAACTTACATGAAGTGTAACAACTGCATTTGGATTCTTTTCTACAGCATAAACTTTAAGCTTACGCCCAGTTTCTTCAGCAGCCTATTTGCAAAAAAATAAAGCGGGTAAAAACTGTGACATCCCAATAAGCGATGTCTGTAACAAAAAACTAGGCAAAGCTGCCGGTACTAGCAGCCAACTATATTGAACTTGAGTAGCCAAGTACTCTATAAAATTCATGATCAAATAAGTTTTATAGCATAAACAAAGAGCCATTGGCACAGCGGGCATGCTGACATCTGAGTTACTGGTAGATCCCAGCCTCTCCGGTGGTCAAGGGTTTAAGCCTCACCAAAATTGCGCGTGTGTAAATTTTGCAGTATATAAATGGTATATTATTATATACTTCAAAAAGGTTGTATAGAATGCTCAATCTGTAATCATGTGCTCTTATCTATAAACGATACTTCACGTGTGTACCTGTAATGATGCTCTAACAAGAGGTCCTCGTCCAGCACCTACAACCATCAATACCTGCAAAAGAACACAAGAGGTTGTCAAAAAGCACACATCTAAAGTCAGAAACAGTTGTAAGAAAAAGTTCAGCCACAACAAACCGGACCAAACAATCCCGGTATATCCCACCACACCAGAGGTGGAATCTAGGGGTGGAATGTACGGAGATCTGACCTCTAACCCCAAATAGTATAGCAGCTATTTGTGTGCAGACCCCCAGCTTGTGCAAAGTGTGAGAAAAGAAAAGATAGAACTTGCACAAAAAGTATGGCGGTGCTAAAATTTAAAAATGAGTTAGAAATAAGCAACAACATTAGAACAGAAGCAGGTACCAAAAAACAACATGAGAATCTCAAATTAGTTACAATTATGTGTGTCAAATCTTCAGGCACAACAGTTGATGCATAATGGAGAAAGCTGCAAAAGTAAATCTTACAACGGTGGTTGTAGATGCATTCTCGTCGGAGATCCTATCCACCAACGCCTTACTGACTGCCCTTTGGTACTGCCAATTACAAGCACATTAAGCATTAACAAACAGGAATAGCCAATAACCTTGAATCATCATCTCAAATAAAAAATATGAAGAATGTAAAAACATAAACTACAATAAAAAATAGTACATATACAGCCAGTAATTAACATGGTCATACTAAGATTGAAGCACTAAATTAATAAACTTAAAGTATTTGCCGCTGCTAGTTTTCCAAATGTAGTTGCTTGCTGCAAAGTAAGGTGAAAATACACCTACTTGGTCAAACTTTTCACCTTCACCATATTGATCACCATTTTTACATTTTCACAATCAATGAAAATGAAATGTCAAATATCTAAATACCACAACAAAATCCACCCTACAAGTAAAAGTAGGGCTGCAATTGCCAAATAAGTGCATTTCATCATATAGAACCCATGATAATTGGACCAAAATCGTTGACAAGTGATTCCATCATATAGAACCCTTGATAAGCGGATCATAAAGGTTGCTAAGTGATACAATAGAGAATTCGATGCAATTTCAAATGACCAGAAAGAGCAACACAATAATGTAGTCATTTAGTAACATGACTGCAGAAAAGAAACTCAGATTGATTTGAATCAGCATAGAGCTCAGTCATGCTAGGATATAAGTCATGTTTCATGTATCATGGTATTTTAATACATACAGTTGCAGAAATAGAAGTCCTCACAGCAACTATGCCATACCTGGATGTATTTGACACTGTCTTTTTCAAATGTTTCATAAGTTTGTGCTTCTAGATTATCCATGAGAGGCTGCAATGATAAGAATAGTGCAACAGTGCAATAAATGCCAGCATAGCCAATAAAAAACGACATAAAAGCGTAACACCAAACTTGCACATAGAACTTACTTGCAAGGGAGATTGTAGAAAATCCCTGTAACCAAGCTGCATAATTGGATGGAGTCAACAAACATATCATCGTTAAAACAAAAAGAACTGGAATTTTCATCAACAGTTCAATACGAATGCTGGGCTGGACATATCACCTCAAATCGTTCTTGTTCCGGAAGGGGCTCCATCTTCTGATATAAATAGCCAACATAGTCCAAGTATGACCTTAGGGGATGTCTTTGGGCTTCTGATTAATGGAACATTAAAAAGCCTTCAGATAAATAAACAAATAACTATGAAACCAAGATAAACAGACGACTTTAAGAATATTAACAAAAAGATGGCAGATATAATGGCGTTGGGGGTATTATAAAGTAACTAGTGCAATGGAAATAGAAAAAACATTTCAAAGCCTCATCCAAGTAATATAATTGTATATCACCAAGTCAGCTGCCATTACCAATTTAATGTTTTTATATCTGCTTGTTTTGCAATCGTAGGTGATAAGCCACCAACAACGAAAACTTACGCTGGGCATAGTTATCAGAGTGGTCAGCACCAGCCGCTGAGTTCCCACCAGAAAGTTTGTGCACTGGCTTCCCAGAAAGCACTATCTGAAAAAAATTGAGGGAACATTAAATTAATCATGGTGCAATTATAATTATCAGGAAAGCATGATGAGAGATGATCAACAAAGGCATGCTTAAGACTTAATCTGTTACAGTCACCAAAAATGAACATTAATCATGTCATTGTCTTCATAAGTGACGGTATTTGTTTTGAATAAGAAGAGGGTGTATAGATAAAAGAAAGAAAAAATGGTTCCAGTCTATGGCACAAGATGTTCTTCCTGTCCCCGGCTACTTTCCAAAACGCATTCCCCTTACGGTAACTCAAAGATAGAAAAGGAGAACACTATGTGAGTTCACTTGTGAGCATGCAGGTCTCTAATGATTGTTTATGACGTTGGACAATTGCATGAGATGATCATGGAGATTATATAGTTGCAACATGTGACTAGTACACCGGGTAAGAAAGCCAGAGAATAGAGTATTAAAAGATGGAGAGAGAGAGAGAGGGAGAGAGAAATAAAGATAGTACAGAGAACAACATGTGGTTGGACCGTTGGATATAAGTCTAAGGTAGCTTCAACAAGTTAGGGATAACGTCGTTGTTAAGGAAATTGATAGTAACAGTCTTTTCATGGTATGTATACAGAAGAAGTAATTGTCATCAAACGTTAAGACAAGACAAAGTGACTGATCATAAATTTGTGCAAAGAGAATGTAGCTTATTGTCAAAGGCAATTGGTGACAGAATTAATAACATATAATCTTAAGAAACAAATAACCTAGTTTCTTAATTGCTTGAGAGTAATTCATTCTAAGCCTAACATAAAACTTGTTATCATTGGTTTAGTAAGAGTTACTGATAAGTACCAATTTATTTGATACTTTTGCACTTTTTCTTCACTTTATTTGCCCATTTTATTTTCCCAAATTCCACAAATTGAGTMTTTTCGGTTTGTTTTTCTATTTTTATATTGGAGCTAAGGTGATATGATAAATATGTTTACTTCTTGGATGTATGTTAATTTTTAGGGAAATTAGCCATGTTTATAGGTATTCGGCTAAAGCATGCTTCAGCACTCGCTGCAGGATGATCCAGGGGCATTCTTGAAAATAGTACGGGAATCTTTTGAGGTCACATCCTCCCTTTTTGGCAGCCCATCTCCTGCAGCTTTTGAGATCTCAAAGGACTAATTAGAGATCTGATTTTTGACATCTTCTAGATAGTTTTACCTTGCCCATGGTTTTGTTCAAAAAGGTGGGTAAAGGTCTTTACCCATTGGATTTTACCCTCCCTTCCTCCACTATATAAAGGGGGGGAGGTCTAGCTTTAGAAGCATGCAATTTGTAAAGAACAATCCTAAAAACACTTGAAGTA